GGAGAGATTTGGGAGAGATTCTCGATAAAGAGAGATAGAGTGAAAAACGATCGAGAGAGGTTTCGTGTGTGACATTTGTGAGTGTCTGGCTTCGCAATGCAAGGTCCGTAAACCCTATTAAGCCTTGTTTAAGGATCTTACACACTTCCGATGAGTATGCAACAATGTTTTATCGGTTTGGCTCGCCATGTACCACAGTTTTAGGTTAAGGAGATCTAGATGTACGCACTTTTTGATTTATGATCTCTCATTAGAATAGCGACTTGTTTAGAAATTACATAATGTAAATTCTAGTACCCACGGGCAAATTGAGTCGAACGGTTTGACTTGTTGACTTCAGTTGACTTTATCTTGACCGGAAATTGACGGTTGTCACATGCTACTATTTTTGAAGTTTGTTCCCAATGTTTGAATGTGGTGGTTTTTACATAACATGCAACAGAAGCAATAACAACATACCCATCATAACACCATGGATCATATTCTAGGAACTAGTTGCAACAAGAATCGACAACCATGGTTAAATGTATACCTTTATTTTGTCAATTCTTCTATGTTTCTTTTGGATGAACGAATACCCAGACCGAAGATCCTCTAATGTAGGAACACCTGAGATCACGATCTAGCAAAATGACACAATTTCTCCTATTTTCTTTTGCCAAATCGAGACCACCTTACAGAGGCGAGGAGGTTGTCTATTCATATGTATTTAAATCAATTATAAGGTTGAGGGTTTTTATACCCATATCCCTTTTGATTGTTATCTTTATCTCCTAATTTGAATTAGAGATAATTACACTCAAACCATTGTGCTAATTAAGTTTTTATTTAACTCATAACATGATGACAAGTTAATAAACTAGTCCTTCTAAATTATGTTTTGTCATTTTATACTTAAATAATGTCTTGTGTATAAGCTAAAATGGCCATTTTAGTTATAGAAATATCACCACTTGTCATGACCATGATCATACTTCCAACAATCTTCCACTTACACATCTCATAACAACTATGTAGTCTTAAATTTCTTAAACCTAGCATGGTGTATATCATTAATGACTATGGATGTACTCATACCCTTGTAGGTATAAAAAGTTCTTAGACAAGTGATCAAATATTTATTTGTTCTACAAGATATTAATATGAATGTACGTAACACATAAATCTTATCAATCTTAGAAGTTCAAGATTATGTTTCCTAATAGAGATTTGTGTCGAACACAACAGACTACATGATTGATCAATTATTAATTCAGTCTAAGCACAACCATGCATTTGATGTGAACACCAAATCATCGAGGGGATCATGGGCATCACTTATTCAATTATGACAGAAGGAATAAATAAACTTTGAATATTATGACACACTCAGTCATCATGGCATACCTAGACATTCCATGTATTGATGTCATTTACAGAAAATATTGGAGAACACCAAAGTGTAACAGAATACATAACTAAGAATCCCATGCATTTCCATTTAAAGAATATAAGATATTACCATCTTAGAATTACTCATGACAATTTTCATTAAGTAATATTTAAATGTAGGTTATTATAATACTTAATCTCCTTTAAGTACACATGAGTGTCAATCACATCTCTATGTTATGTCCATCTCCATGGACAATCTTGTTGGAAATGTGTATCCAATGTCATAACCAATTGTTGTAACTTTGCGAATAATAGCAATGTCTCTTTTGGGTTGCCCTCAAGAGCAACAATAGCTAGAATTAGATTTAAGAGATTGAAGAAGACAGTTTATTAATTTATTACATGTTAATAAATTAACTACAAACTAGTTAAAATTAATTAGAATAAATTTGAAGGTGCAGGGACTGAATGTTAATTCTTTAATAGTTGAGCAAAAGGAACATTTTGGAGCTCCCTTAGGGTTGAACGTTTTTTGGAGATTACAAAAGAATTCCAGAATCTTTCTAGATAGTTGATGTGACAACCCAGAAAATATGCCTCCAATCGCCATCGACAACCAACGTTAAAACACGATAATACAATCTTAAAAACGCCAAGAATTTCAACCATCACTCTTATTAACGTCTAACCATAGGCTAACATATTCGGATTCTACATGTTATCGCAATTTCAGAGTTTGGGCAGAGTAACTTTTTAAGTATGGCGGAAATTTATTTCTTATATATATATATATATATATATATATATATATATATATATATATATATATATATAAGATAAATAATATTATTCACGGTAATTACTCTGCCCAAACTCTTTAGCTAATCTTATGCCTAGTTGTTATGCTGAGCTACTATGATAACTAAGATCATATCTAGTTGTCACGTTGACCAGGTGCGAGAAAATGCTAAAACTCATTATTATAGCCACTTTTGGATAAGCTTAGTACCTAGTGTTACTCTGACCAAATTCTCGGCTACGCTAAACACACTAAATATATAACGTCAAACCATAAAAACGCCAAGAATTTCAACCATCACTCTTATTAACGTCAAACCATAGGCTAACATATTTGGATTCTACACGTTATCGCAATTTCAGAGTTTGGGCAAAGTAACTTTTTAAGTATGGCGGAAATTTATTTCTTATATATATGTATATATATAAATAATATTATTCACGGTAATTACTCTGCCCAAACTCTTTAACTAATTTTATGCCTAATTGTTATGTTGAGCCACTACGATAACTAAGATCATACCTAGTTGTCACGTTGACCAGTTGCGAGAAAATGCTAAAACTCATTATTATAGACACCTTTGGATAAGCTTAGTACCTAGTGTTACTTTGACCAAATTATCGGCTACGCTAAACACACAATATATATATATATATATATATATATATATATATATATATATAAGTATACCGTATAAATACAACACAAACTACCAGGGGAGACCCCCACGACAAGAGTTAGATGAAACACCTGACCTATAATCGTTAATTAATTATTAAGTAAGCGAGATAGATATATATATAGATCTATACGAGATTGACACTCCTACCTGTGGTTGCTAGCTACAACCTGACAACAAGTTAAAGCAGTCATAACTTTATAAAAACAGTGATGTCCGATGAAGCATCGTTGTATTTTCAGGATCAACACTCATAGCTCGATTATAGGAACTCATCGTAACTTGTTAAAACTAAAACTAGCTATCATAAACTACTGATAATAATTAAATAAGTAGTGATAGTACGCACAATAGATCCAACATATAATAACTTATCCAACATACACAAAAATGACTAACAAATTATATTCTTCGTCGAAAAGAAAATGAATTAATGAATTGAAACTAATCATTGTCCGCTGAAAAGAAACTAATTGTCGAAACAAACTATTCACATCCCGCCGTTTTGCGCGGGTAAACGACTAGTATATATATATATATATATATATATATATATATATATATATATATATATATATATATATATTGGGAAATGATCAAATGAGAACACCTAAAAGGTTGAGAACACGAGAACAAGTATATTCATTCGTGATTTCATGTATTCATTTGTGGAGAAATGATAATTTTTACGTACAAAAAACATGAATATGTTTTTTCTCTTAAATTGAAATTAAAGGCGTAAAAATTTATCATTTCTCCATAAATAAATACATACACGGAATCGCAAATGAATATACTTTGTTCTCGCGTTCTCAACCTTTTTAGTATTCTCATTTGATCCTACTCCAATATATATATATATATATATATATATATATATATATATATATATATATATATATATATATATATATATATATATATATATATATATATATATATATATATATATATGATTTAATAACAATTAAAAAAATAGGATGTGTTGTGTTTTACTTACGCAGGAGGTTGACCGCACTACCCCTCATCTAAAAGGATCGATGTTCCCATCTCCCTTCAATATTATATCACCTTCGCCGCTCCATGTAGTTGTATACCACCAGTCTTATTATGCACATTTTCATTTGATCAAAACATTCAAATTAGTGGTGCACAAGTATTTAAGTAATTAATACGTACATCCTATTTATAACGTAATTCTATTCATACATCTCAATTTTAAAAATTTTAATGTCTATATTATACTAAACACACTCTTTATGCTACTCTATATGGTTAACACCGTCGAAAGACCACTTAAGCATAAACCATCCTCATCTTTCCACCACATTTTTTAAGGGTTGTATGCCAAGCTTACAGCGTCGTTGTGAGGCCAACTGAAGAAGAAAAACAAAGGAATGTAGAGAGAGGAGCAAGGCTTTGCCCTCCATTATTGTTATCGCATCTCTTATCTTAACGACCGGTTGGGGTAATTTTGCAGCCGTTACAATGCTATTAAAAACACTCCACGTCGAAAATAACAGAAAAAATATCCTCATACAGTAGAGTCTTAAATATTTATTGTAATAATAGGTGTGAGACTCATGTATTATATGAGTTTATTTAAAAAAAAATTACAAATGAAATTTTAACAATTTGAGAAGTTTGAATTTATAAGAAAAATAAGAAAATTTTAAATTATTAAAATTAATGTAGCTTTAATACATTGAATACATTACATATATATAAATCATTTCTAATAAATACATTACATATATATTATTTTACATATTAAACATGAAATTTTAATTTAATAAAATAAAAAATACAATAAAATAAAAATAAAAAATAAAAAAATAAAAAATTCTACAAAATAAAATGTATCCCAACAAAGAAAAAAAAACATACAACAAAATAATTTTAATTTATTAGGAAGAACCGTCAATTTTTTATCAAATAACAAAAATATACAAATAACCAAAAGTTCTATGAATACCAACAACCCTATATAAAGCCCGAGTTGCAACTGAGCCTAAACTTTTTATTCAAGCCCATTAGAAAACTTGCTTCTAACACGTCACCCTCTTTGGATGACGTGGCACCTTTCAATTGGATTGGTTTTATTTATTTCATAAACTTTCATTTGACCCCTTCAAAATCACTTTTTGACTCTCAGCCCCCTCGTTGATTCATTAATCACCCACCAAATACAAACCCCAGAATTCCTTTCTCTTCTTCTTGGTGACTAAATCACACAGTTCGACGTGAAAGATGGGCTCGATTTTGATGTGGGTTTTGCTTCTATTCGCCTGTTTGTTCAATTACGATGTCTTAGCCGAGCAGATCTTCCCAACTCATGGAGGTAATTTTCCAATTTCTCCGTGTCTGTGAAACGGATGAAGAACACATTCCATTTTGGGTAATTCTACAAACATTTTTGTTCAAAAGCAGTTCCAATTCCACGCTCAGTCGCTTGCAGGTGTTTATTTTGTTATAAATTTCGTAATATTTGATTCGTCAAGTATGTAATTAATAATCTGCTCAGAAGGTATAGAGAGGTTTCGTAAGATTCTAACATGTCAGATGATGTAGGTTAGTTCTATGAAGCAAATTAGAGAGATAAAGTCAAAATGTGAATACGATTTGCCATTATCCATCTTCTTCCTCGTTCATCTATGTTATTAGACCTAATTTATTAAAAAAATTCCAAGGAGATTGAGATAAATCATAAACATAACTTGTAGAAAAGCATAGAAGATTATGATTACTTAATCGGGGAAGCTTCGTTTCCCCAAATTTCTTTGTTAATTCGTTTCATCTTCATTATGATTACTTGTTTAGGGTAGTTTAAGTTTAAATGTTTATAAATGGTTGAGTTTCAGGTAGCTTAGGTCGCAGCTCTAGAGAACCAAAATACGATATTGAATTCCATTCAGAAGATTCACCATTTCATCCTGTAAGTCCCCATATCAAAATTCATATATTCTAGCGTCTGATTATCATAAGATGCATTGATAAACTGTATTCTTTTCATCCCAAAACATTTGACTTATACTTTCAACATTTAATCATGAAAATTAAAGAATCTTGTTAATGCAAATCATTGTCATGAACTCTTTTTGATTATGAAAATGGCAACTCAAGATGATAGTAAAAGTTAAGGGCAACAACATACAGAAAACTACAACTTAATTTCATCATTAAATTTTTTGATTTATTGATTTTTTACAGGATGATGATCAAGAATCTGTGGTAATGCCAAAGAAAAATGGAGAAAAATTTGTATGTTTTTTACCTAAAGTGGAAAAATCCAAAAGTGAAAAACAAACAATTCAACAAAACTCCACAAGTTTAATTTTGGAAACTGAAAAACGTTTCAAATTGAAGACACCAGATGAACTACTTGAAGCACTTAAGGACCGATGCTTTCTCAGGGTCAGAACTTTTACCTCTCTAAAACAAATTACGATTTTACCCTCCACCATTGTATCAAATTCAATAATTATTTCTTGCAGCAAGAAGGATGGTGGTCTTATGAATTTTGTTATCAAAAGAAGCTTCGTCAAATTCACCTGGAGGAAGAACGGGTTGTTATCAAGATTTATAAATCTTTTTTCTTTTTTTCAATTCCCGTAAATTTACCAAAATACCCCTCTTTCAGGTTGTTCAAGAATTTATTTTGGGTGAATACGATGCTGAAGCTACAGCTGCATACAACCGTAATTTATCCGACATTTCAACTCTGAAAGATCCTCGCTCCAAAGATGCATCACAAAGGTACAATTACAAATATATATATATATATATATATATATATATATATATATATATATATATATATATATATATATTAATTTTATAGATGATTAATATATTAAATATTACCAAATAATCCATATTAATTGAATATTTATCTTTTATTTTTGTTTTATATGATTAATGTTAGGTATCATGCTCATCAATACACAAATGGAACAACTTGTGATCTTACAAACGAGCCTCGAGCAACCGAGGTTTGATGAAAATGAAAATATTTTCTCAATTTCGTATTAATTTAATTTTTTGAATTATATATTATTTTGAATTTTTTTTTGTTTGTGTTTTGTAGGTGAGATTTGTGTGTTCGGAACCTCGAGCTATGATTAGTTCTATCACCGAATTGTCAACATGCAAATATGCACTAACAATCCATTCCCCAATGCTTTGTAAACACGCGTAAGTGAAGTGTCTCAATCAGACTAAATGACCATTTTACCCTTACATTCCAACGAATAGTTTTTCACGATATTTATCAATTTTAACCTGCCATCATGATGGGTATTTTTGTCTTTTCAGATTATTCCAAGAAGAAAGACCTGTTTGGTATACAATTAACTGTAACCCGCTCCCGAAAGATTACAAACAACCAAAAATTGAAGATGACATTACACATGAACAGAAGATCCTTATGGTAATTGATGAGGAACCTTCATCATCATCATCGTCGTCATCATCATCATCATCATCATCATCGAACACTGATTCCGAAGAACACCCGACATAAAAATGTATGAATGTTTCAGATATGGTTCAAATTAAGCAAACAGAAATATACGTTGATTTGTGCCCAAATAGTTTTTATACATTTATCGGCATTTTTAGCTATAGTGTTTTTTTTTTTCTTCAGATGATATAGTAAACTTGTGATGCTAGACAAAACTTAGTGATACATTTAAAAGGTTTGTCTTTCTTTTTTTTTTTTTTTTTTTTTTTTTGTCTTCGGGTTTTATTTTGGTTTGAACTCATAACTGGTCTGGTTTTGGTACCAAAAAAAAAAAAAAAAAAAAAAAAAAAGAAACTTGGTTGATTTTGGTTTGAACTCAATTTTATAAAAGATTAAAGCGTTTATGTTAGAAAAACATAACCTATTATTATGGCATAATTTTTTTTTTGTCTGTTAAGTCCATTACTTTTTAAAGTGTCAAATTATGTTCTACGAGTTTACTTCAATAAGATAGCTTTAATATGATGTGTATTTATGAGGGCTTTTGTGTTTAATATAAGAGTTTTGCATTTCATGTAGGAGTTTTGGAGTATGTGGTGAAATAATGAGACATTAACGAGTCAAATATTTTAATATAAGATATTTTTGTATGTTGAAATTATGGAAGGGTTTTAAAAGGTAAAAAGTTGATAGTATTTTTTTTTTGGTAATTGGTCTATAATAGATGAAGTCTTACATGCTACAGTGTTAAAATAATATTTTTTAAGAAAACGATTTAAAATATGGTATGCCTAGAACACACTTTAGGCTACTTCTGACACAATCAAGCCGTTATTAATTAGAGAAAACAAACGTATACACTTACATTATTCAACTTGCTCCTTATTCCATTAGAACTACAATATTTGATTGAAAATGTTGTTGAAAATTTTGTTATTTGATTAAGTATCCGTCAATTTTTAATATGGATAAGATTCCGAATATGGCTATAGAAACTCATTGAAAGCGTCACATATCAAATTACTAAATAATTGAGAGAATGATGATTGATGTGATATGAACATGTCCAAAAGACGCAATGACATGGTAAGAGAAAGAAAGAATTGTACTAAAAGGTAGCAGATGACATTGTAGACATGGATAAGATTGGTCTGTTCGAGGGCAACATCTTAGATAATGTATAGCGGTTAAACATCAAAGTAGATTCGTCCCTTGTATGCTTTTGTATGCTAACATTATTTTTGATGTTTGATTCTTGCTCATATGCCTAGCTTTTTTTTCTTTCTTTTTTTTTTTTTTTTTTTTTTTTTTTCACTCACCAAATCAATTTACTCTCCCTTGTTTGTCTCTTTTACAAGTTTATGGTTCAAATATCGAAGGCCATTTATGTGACACATTCATTTCATGCTAAGGATGATTATTGATCTCTACCTTATTCATATCCCATTTCAATAGGACCCCATGGTCTATTGTAGCTATTGTAGTTGTCTAATATTAAATATTCTTAAATATTTTCAAGATAAACAAGATCTTATTCACAAAAAAACACCATCTTATTTGAATAATACAAGATTTCATTCAAATCTCACACTTTTCTTGGATACATTAGTATTATAATAATGAAGTAAAAACTCTATTAATTAGCCATCATAGAAAAACAAAAATGTCCAAAAACTTCATACACTAACTTTATTCTAAACAAATTCTAACTAAAATAACCTAACACTAACACTAACAATAACAAATAATACATTTTATCATAAAACATGCTTACAAAACTTATCTACACATCACAATTTATGTACACACTCTTAAATTGTGATTCACTCTACATTTTTAATTTGAAAGAAACCTAGAGAATAAATTTGTTGTAGAACAATTCGAGCTACATTGCAACCAACATGAGATTAAACCTATAAACCCTGCCTCCTTCGGTTGCAAGTTGTCCTCTCTCCTTTGCAGGACTCGCAAAAATTCATCTGAGCTTAAGTTCCCATCTCGGTTCACATCAAATATGTAATATATCATATCAATCACATTATTGCTCAAAGTAATCCCACAAACCTAAATACCATGCAAATAACTCTTGTTATTATCTTAAAATCAAACATCTAACTATAAGGACCAAACTTGAGATTTTTAGTAAATGAGGGACCAAATTTGTAAATTACTCTATTATATGAAACATGTATGTTTCACCTGTTCGGTTGCTCTTTGGAAATCCTTCTTTGTAAGAAGCCCGTTCACTTTTCCATAACTAAAGATGGCAAGAGACAAAGGTCTCAATTGTTTTCGCAATTCTGCAAACTTCTTGAAATCTTCAAATGTAATTCGTATGTTCTTGAGATTTGGCTCTTCGTTCAATTGGTCAACTCGATCGAGAAACTTGTTGATGTGGTTCATATCAGCAGATGCCACCATTGACAACGCAAAATCCTTAGCAGATATCGTCCCTCGTGATTTATAGTCGTAATGAGCAAATTCAAGCGACAAAATCTATCCAAAACGAAGAATTCAACAATCAAAATCCTTATCGCGTTTCAGATAACGAGAAAGATGATCGATATAATCATATAACGAACCTCGTTGTGCAAATCTTTCAAAAACTGAACGAATTTCCCGTGAGCGAGGCACGATTTCCCGTTTTTCCCGAAGAAATACTCGAGAAGGCCGCCGTTCTCCACCGGCATTGAAACTTTTAGTCCGGTACGCAATCCGTCGCGGTGGCGTGACCCTTGTCGGTGTTGAGATCGCATCAATGCCATTACTTTTTTGAATTCCTCCCTGTCGATCTCTCTATTCATAGTTTCAAATACGATTGGATTAGTTATTGAGTAGAATTATAGAAACCCTAGAACGAATTTGATGGAAACTTACCCGTTGTTATCGAGATCGAACATCTTAAAAGCTATGGAGAAGCTCGATTCAGGGATGCTTAGAAGCGTAACGAAAAATATATACCTGTTATGATAATTCCAATCGAATTCAGCATCTGAAAACCTAATACGATTAACAAAATTCCGATTTGAAGGATTGAATTCAAAAAACTTACTCTGCAAATGAGATAAGTCCATCGTTATTAGTATCGAAAAGCATGAAGAACTTTGAAGGAGAACACTGTAACTCACTAGGTGCTTGCTCGCCTTTCAAGCTTCCCTCGCGAACACGGGAAGCTTCAGAAGGGGTGAACACCGGCACCACCGCCCTCATCAAGTCCGCCGGTGTCATAAATGATTCGCCACTAGGCGATTGGTGAGATGCGAAGTACTCGAACACCTAAGGTTTTGATTTTTGAATTGAACTGATGAAATTATAGATGTGTTTAATTGAAATTCGGTTAATTGTATATACCTTTTCCGGTGGACTTTGTGTTCTTATTCTTTTTTCGTACTTGAAGAAAACTTTCCGGCGATAAGCATCTGCGAATTGTTTACTCCGATTAGAACTTGAAATGGTTTTCAAGTTTCACAACTTTTGTGTTTTTTTAGATGAAAACATGCGAGAAAGAACTCCTTTTTCGCAGGAAACATTTCCATGCAAAAAATGTTTTTTTTTTTTTTTTTTTTTTTTTTTTTTCTATAAAGAGAGAAGAAAAGGCTTAACATGAGTGACCCATAATATATCTTTATAATATGTATTATATTTATATTATTTATTTATTTATTTTATTGTAACATTCTATCTTTAATTATTACTTCTATCAAACTATTATAATTTAAAATATTTAATCCTTATAGTATGTTAGTTTTCTTTTCTCAAATGATAAATTACTTTACATATACGTAGCAACACCATAATTATATAGATTTATCTAAACGGAATAATGTAGTGAAAGAAATTGAAAATATTATGTTATAAACTTATAAACTTATAATAAACAAATCAATAAAAATATATTGTGATTTTTGTATTAAATCCTAAAACAGTTATATATAATCTTTTTGTAATTTTCTTTTAAAAGGAAAAAGTATGATCAATAGAAACACATGTAAACGATACAATCTATTCAATATAATTATCAATAAAAAGATAGATAAAATCTAAACCACGAAAAGGGAGTTTAGTATATTCATATATACCTCCAAAAATATACATGGGTTTGTCATCAGATTTTGCAGACTGATCTTGATGCGATGAATCCGCATACACAAACTGTGAATTCGGTTGAGAAACAGAAGTTAAGTAACAAAGCCCGAGGCTCAATCCAACTACAACAATACTAGAAGTCAGTGATTCAACGCTTTTGTAACGATCATAGTTGAACCTCCATCCAACATTCAATTTCGAAGGTGAAGATGAATATGATGATATGGATGATGATTGGTTGTTAGAATTTGTAGTGATCAAACGAACGTTGTGGTGGGGTTCATGGTGTTGAGAGGCGAGAGATCGATGAATGGTGTAAAAGGTTGGTTTTTTCTTGAAGAAGGTAGAAAAATAATGCATAGTAAACGTGAGTTTGTTGATTTTTTGGATTGGTAGAGAATGAATGAATTTATGGTATTTATATGGGGGAATTTGTGTGATTAGTGATTGGTCAAAAAAGTTCGAGCGCCAAAAAAGGTGGTTCGCTAGTTACAATTTGGTCAAGGTGGTAGTTAATTCTGTTTTTGGATAATGGGCTGGTTTATGTGTAAATGTTTTCTTTTGGGCCTTGTTGATTTGTTTGCCATTTTTTTTTAGAATATAATGAACATGATCATCCTTCCATCCTTGGTAACATATTTCGATAAATAAAAGAATTATAATCTCCATTTTCATTTTCATTTTCATTTTTACTCTAATAAATAAATATTTTTATTAATTTATTTAATTTATCAAATGTTATTTTTTTTATTATTATGAATTTTTTTTCACATATCATTTTATGAGTTTTTTTATTTTATTAAATTCCACATAATATTTTAATGTAATAATTATAATAAATGTAGTAATAAATGGATTCTAATCAACTTACATTTTAATTTTAAAATTTTCAAAATTAAAGCTCATTAGTTTCTTTTGTTTATTTATTTAAATTATTTGTTTAAATTTAAAAGATAAAAAATATTTTCTTATAATAATTTATTATTTATCTTATTTTCTTATAAATTCAAAGCTCTCAAATATTTTGACCTTTTTATTTAACTTTTTTTTTTTTAAATTAACTCATGTAATACATAAGTCTCACAACTAGTATCTAATAAAAGAAT